CGCACCACCAGCCCCAACCCACCTGAACCCTCCCCCTCCCTTTCCCGCAACCGTGTCGCCCCCAAAAACCCAAAACCCTCGTCCCAAAAAAAGGCCAAGAATCTGGCCTTAAAAGGCCGAAATCGGCCGGTTAAGGCCACTGAGCCCCAAAACCGGCCGATTTCGGCCATTTGTGGCCAGATTCGTGGCCGTGGTGGGATCTAGGTTTTAGTTTTGGTGGTTTTTGGGGGCGACGCGGTTGCGGGAAAGAGAGGGGGAGGGTTCGGGTGGGTTGGGGCTGGTGGTGCGACGCGGGTGGTGGTTTCGGGGAGGGGTGCGGTGAGTTGCGGGGAAGGGGGGTGGTGGCGCGGGGGTGGTGGCTGGGTAGTTTAGGTTTTTTTTAAAAAAATAAAAATTTTAATTTATTTTTTTAAATTTTTTGGCCAATAATAACACGACACGTGTCGTTATGGACCCACTTAACGGAAAATCTAACGGATTCCGTTAAGTGGTAGTGATTATGAAAGTTAGTGTGTTTCGGTGGTAGTAAAATAAAATAAAATTTTAAAGGGATAGCAAATGTGATATAGGGTCCTTTTGCTGGTAGCAAATGTGAAATTTTCCTTATAACTAATCACCCCCTACTCTTTTATGACATCCTACCCACCCAACTACTCCACTTTAATTGCAGAAAATAAACCCACGTCTTCCTACCAGAAAAATCAAATGACCATAATATCTTAATTGTGTTCTTCAAGTTCTTCATCTAGAAAATTTTACCACTTTCTCTCTCCTCAAATATCTATGAAAACCCACAAATTTATCTGAAAATCTTACTCTCTTCAATTATCTTTCATCAATTTGAGGTAATCTAACTCAAATTTTTCCTCCTTTAAAAAAAAAAAAAAAACCAAATTTTCTCTGTAATGGAAAAGGGGAAGGCGATTGTTCTTTCAAAGAAGGAAAAGGAGTATACTCTTACAAAGGAGCAGAAGAAGATAATTGCGGCTTCTTCACTAGCAGAATTTCTGCCTGAGACTTATCCTTGGGAGAATGAAACCTCTTACCAAAATATTTGGATCCAACCTTTTTTTTCGAGGTTCCTTGATTCAGAGTATATCAATAATCTAATGAGTTTTGAGTCACCTAAAACCCCAATTAAGGGACAGTGAAACTACGAAATATTTTAGCTCTTTCCTCAAAATGCAGTACAAGTGCCAGATTTAGTAAAAAGGAAACCCACTCATCACTTTTTTAATTAGCATAAAAAGACCTGCAATACCCCTATCTTTTTGCACTCTCTCCTTGTCTTAAATTGTGTGCCCAACCCAATGGTATCAACTAAAAAAAAGGAGGAAGTAAAAAAAAGTGGCTATTAATAAAATATACATAGAGACGATTTAAACAAGATCCCACTTGACTATGTTTCACCATAGCTATATATCACAAAAGCTAGTCAAAGTGTAGTTTGTGAATAGTGTAAAAGTCAAATGGTGTCATCTAAAAACAACGGAGGAAGTAACATAGTAAGAGGTTTGTCACTTAGATTGTTAGATTATGTAAATTGCATAATATACAATTTAAAACTCATTTTTTATTACATGGTTTGTCACTTGTTAGACCATAAAAACTATAGGAAGACCATCTAGGAGCAAAAGAAAAAGTGCAAAGGTAAAGGAAGGAAAATTTCAACTGTCAAATGCTAAAAGTGCAAGCAATTTGGCCATACTCTCTTACATGCAAGGGAGGGGCAACTACGAAAGAGTTAATGGAACAACAAAGGAAATCAGCCTCTACCCTGCTAAAAGAAAAAGGTCAACAGGGCATCAAGCTTCAAAGTTAGCACACTAAAAGCAACTTGATTGATTTGATGATAAATGGTTGCACTTCATCCCAGCCACTTTCCACCAAAAGATCAAGCTAAGCCAGCCACTTCCCATAGCTAGTTCAAGTCAGCCAATTTTTAGAGCAAGTTTCAGCCAGCCACTTCCAAGACATATCCACTACTAATAAAAGTGGATCCACTTAACCTCCACCAACCACTTCATCCTAGCCACTTCCCACTAAGAGATCAAACTAAGCCAGCCACCTCCCATAGCTGGTTCAAGTCAGCTACTTCAATTCCCAAAGCAAGTTCCAGCTAACCACTGCCTAGACATAGCATTAGGTCCATTGCTAATAAAGGTGGATCCACTCAAATGTACAATAGAGTATTAGCCCTAAGAGACAAATAAATATGCACATGCTCGATCTCAATGTTGTAAAATGAGTTTGTTACATTCCTTTTACCATTAATTTTACACAACTAACTTTAGTTTGATTAGTTGCAACTGTAATTGTGATGCTTTTTTCTAACTACGAACTATTTAACTTATGTATTAAACATTGATTTGATTTGATTTTTTTTTTCCAAACCAATTCATGTGCAATTAACTATATGGTATTTTAATTGCAAATATATGCTACACGAAAATAAAGTTAAATAACGTTCAAATTTTTTCATCTAGTATTTAATCTTTGTTACATCAAGCTAAGCCAAGATTTTGGCAATAAGAATCAATTTTCATGATGTTTTAAATCAAATTCACCACAAAAACAACATACGTAAATACTCCAACTTTGACTATTTCCCTTAAGTAAAACATCAAATCTGTCAACTTCAGCATCACAAAATTCATGTCATAATTTTGTTCTTCACTGCATCAAGCCCTTCAATATCACTTTCGTGTAGCCACAAGAAGAAGCCCATTGTTGTTGCACTTGAAGAAAACTTTTCTTGATTGGGTTGTAATTTGTGGTTGAAACCTTCAACTTCGCAAGTTTGGGTGGCTTGCACCAACATCGTGGGCTCAAAAACTCCAATGCACAAGTCGAATTTGAGGGAAAGGAGCAGCAAGAGCTTGTTGATGACATGTCTTGGTATGGACGATAACAACAATGGACCCTTAAAATTAAAATAAGAAGGAAAAGGGGGGCTAAATTGAGGGAAGGTAGAACTACTCATTTGGAGGGAAAATTTCCACCAAATCTAACAACCCACCCAAAACATTGCTACATTAAGATGACAGACCCTATTTAACGAGGACTTAACGACAAGAGTACGGTTGAGTTACTAACTGTACTAGGGGGTATAGTGTGCAAATTTTTTAAAAAAAAAATCCAAAAAAAGAAAGTCGACACAACGTAGAAAAGCCAACACTATATGGTTACTACGTAGAATTTCCCTGTAAAATATCTAGAGTATTAGATTGGATGCTTAGGTGTGACGACGAAAGGTTTTAACAAGAAATACCCCTACTAAATCAACACCTCTTACCGGTTAGCATGTATAGTTAGTGGAGCTCGGACTTAAAGTCACAAAGTGTGTTCCTTAGCAAGTTAGCAACTCCTATTAGAGCATCAACAATGGACAGGATTACTCTCCTTTTAATGTTTAACATGTTAAAAGGATCCGTTTAGCAAAAGGAATGGGTGTTTGACTACAGTTGGTATTGGAAGCAAGTCTGTGAAGTAAAGGAAAAAAATGAAGAGAGCCTATACTCCTGCCTTGATTGGTAGTAAATATAACATCAAGAAGAGTTATGATTTGCTCACTATTGGAAAGCCAAGATGCCGATGGGATTCTTTGGTCTGATCTGGGAAAATAAAGTCATTACTAAGCATCAATTTATTGCTTGGATGGCTATTTAGAAGAGACTAAAAACTCGAGACAATTTACATATGAGCATGCTGCAGAATGAGAAGATGTGTTTACTATGTGCTGATGTGCAAGCTCATGAGCATATATTCTGTCAATGCTAATCAATAGCATTCTATGGGCTGATTCTTGAAATTGGCTTGTTTTAGACTTAAAAGTAGACCTGATCAAGTTAAGCCCACCCTGGTGGCTCAACCCGATTTTGGGTGGGTTTTGGGCAGTTCGGGTTTAGGAAATCAAATTTTTTTTGCAATTTTAGTTACTATTTTTTTCCCTGTTCGAAAAGCCCGCTCGACCCAGCTAGATTGGGCAAGTTTGGGCACATATATTCCGGCTACAAGCTTGGCCCGACCCAGTCCAATGAATGGGCTAATTTTTTTTACCTTGGTTAATAGTTATACTACCCTTATAATTTGTTATAACTCTTTGACCTACTTTGACTAGTGTGTGATTTATATATAAGAAAAAAAAAATCATATAAGTACTTTTTTTTTTTTTTTTTTTGAAAGGGAGTACTTATTTGAATAGTCTCAAATTCTCAATGAAATAATTATTAATTTTTAATTATTATGATGTATACTTAGGGTTTGTTCTATTCACCTTACAAAAATAAGTTTTAGGTCTAATAAGTTCAAATCAGTTCAGATATAATAAGGTCTAATAAGTTAAATAAAGTCTAATAAGTTCAAATCAGTTCAGATAATTCCAATAAGTTTAATAAGGTCTAATAAGTTAAATAAAGTCTAATAAGTTCAATAAAATTTAATAAGTTTCAATAAGTTAAATAAGGTCTCATAAGTTCCAATAAGTTAAACAAGATCTAATAAACTCCTATAAGTTCTTATCAAGTCTAATAATAAGGTCTACTAAGGTCCAATAAGTTTTGATAAGATTCAAAAAGTTCTAATAAGTTCAATGAGGTCTAATAAATTTGAATAAGTTCAACAAGATCTAATAAGTTCAACAAGGTTGAATAAGTTTAATAAAGTATAATAAGCTCAGATAAGTTCAAATAAGTTAGTTCAGGTATAATAAGGTGAAAAAAAATACCCTTATTGATTATTAAAGATGTTATTGATCAAAGAAAAATAAATGTGAGGTAGATGTAAGTAAAAAAGAGAATAGGAAAGAATATGTTGGAAAAAAAAATGTGAAAAAGATTTGAGATAGTGAATAGTGATGTGGAGGAGAGTTAGTATGATATGTCAAATGGAGGAAAGGAGATAAAAAAATGGAAAGGATATATCTATACTTTCCATTGTTCATGCTTTAGGGCTTAAAGGTAGATTATTTGGTGATTAAATATTTTTATGTTAGTTAAGAGTGAAAGTAAATCCCTCATTTAAAGGTAAATTTTAATTGAAAACCTCATTTAGTACAGTGCATCATCATGTTCACCTGCTTGGTGCAACCAGAACTTCCCTTCCAAAATTATCAGAAATTTTTTTAAAAAAATTCTAAGTTTATCGTTTTCACTATTTTGGGGTAGAAGGGAGAGTGGAGGATTCTGAAATTCAACTCCTAACATCTCAACCAATTAAGGTGCCTTTCCTTGTTGGATTTGCTGAAGCAAAGCTGCAGCAAGTTGCAAAGTTGCTTGCAGTCGTTTCTGAGGATCAGCTTCACCATCATCTTGTGCATTACCTGTGTTCACAATCTCTTGATTCCCCTGTGTTGCCACGGGACCAGCATGAGTGAATGCCCGCACGGTCTCTGCTTGCACTGGTTGCTGCTGCAGCTGACTAAACGGAGATGGTGACATGTCAGGAGAGACCTGATTTGCTGTTTGTGAAGCATTATATCTTGGGGGAACTCTTGACAGACTTTCATGTTGATTCCCAAAGCCAGATGATCTATAAACATCAGCAGCTGGAGGAGAGCGGTTTGTAGTTTGCCTTTGTAGCTGCCCCCGCAGAGAGACATCAGCATGCTGCTCTTGTTGAAAACCACCCAGAGGCAAAGAAGGTACAGATGATGGAAATTTTTGTTCATGAAGAGACGACCTGCTACCATCAGAATATTCGGTACCAGCATCATAAATAACCCTGCTAAACTCTGTACCACCCCTACCAGAATTGGAATTATTATATCCTTCAGAAACAGGAATGGTGTAACCAGGTTGGAAGTTGTGTCTGCTTTCCATGTGATAAGGGATGCTTCCGCTTCCATGATCATAAGATGGGAATGGTGATGGAGCTGAAGCTTTGCTATTTCCTTGTAAAGATGCACGATCAACGTCTGAAGGTATAAGAGAGGGACCTGACAATTGCAATTTGCTGTATGATGTATCAGCATGTGAATAAACGGCATCTCTATTTTTCATCTCATTCTCTAGAGGATGAGAAGCCAAGGTAGGACTAGATGGTTCTAAACTTAAAACGACACCAGATATACTTAGCTTCCCAGGTATTTTTAATACGTTCTCAGAGAAATCTGAAGGGGGGACAAGAAACAAGGTGTTCCTATCATCCAACTTAGCAACTGCTGCCCGTTGCTTCTCTTCCAGATAATGCATAAATTCATTATAATATACCATATCTCCATCACTGGCAGGGACGAAAAAGACAACCCAGGAGCAGGCAGCCTGATAATAATGCTTAGAAAGCATATCAAGTCCAGTCCGTGCAGTGCAATCTAGGAACTCTGGCCTGCAAAAGAAGAGTTGTCACTGAGTTACCAAGAAAATGAAGGTGCATGGAGAGGAAATAACATGTAATGAACATAAAACCTTTTCACGCTTTTAATTTTTATTCGTGCTAATGGTGTGCTGTAATATGCATTGTGCTATTATTGTATAATCATACTGCTAATCTAATTGAACCAGTGAGAAATCCCACATTTTAGTGATACTTCACCCCCTTTGGCCCCTCCCCCTCCCATTTACTTTTCTTATTATTTTTTTAAATAAAAATGGAAGTGATCAAAGCACAGTACTAGCTTAAACAGGTAACTTTAGGAAGTCATGAGGAAAGGTTTGTACTAACAAGAAGAAATCCATGATTTTTCCTACTGGAAAGCAACGAGCTTGGCAGACAGGAGTTCCACCCTTTGCTATAGTACCCTCCCATTTCCATTCCTTCGTTCCTCGCTGATGCAACTCAGAGGTGGTTCTTTTCCACTCAGCTGGAACTGATGATGAATTTGGAGGAAGTGACCGGAAAGTATCATGAGATGATCCCCAATTGTCACGCTTATCCCCTAAAGATCGATTTACGTTTGGAGGATTCTCTGGCAGTCTTCTATACGGAATAGGATGCCCGGACTCGTCTGACAAAGAAAATTCAGGAACTAATCCAGGGAAAACATGCTTATCCTGGCTTACATTATGCAAAGGATATTCAGGAAGCTCCTCGTGCGGAAAGGAATCAATTTTCAATTTCTTTCCTCTGTGATAGTTATAAGTATCCTCTGGCAAGTCCCTTGGATCTTCTGGAAATTGACTTTTTCTTCTCAGGTTTCGCGGAGAAAAGTCATGATATTGATCACTTCCATCTCTAAAAGGACTCCTACCATATTCCTGCCGCCCTTGTGGTGGACCTATATCTGGTCCAAGTTCATGAAATCTTCTGTCTTCATACGAACCACCAGTATGAGCCCATGGAGACTCCAGCCTCCTGAAGCGATCTTCATATTCCATGTTCGGGTGATGGGGGACCCTAATGCTTGGATCTTCAGGTTCTCTGACATTTCTATTAGTGCGTAAGTTATCAGAAGATCCAATCTGATTAAAGGACTTAGAATGTGGAGGAGGAACATTAGGCCCCAGACTTCGCCTCCCACCAGCAGAAGAAGAATGATCTTTCCTAGCAAAAGATATATGCACACGTGGATTTCCAAACAATTTTCCTTGGAGAGTTTCTTTAGCCCTGCAAGCTGATGCTAGATTCCTGAACTGGACAAATGCATATGTACGACCTGGGAATGCAGTTATCTTGTCAATATCTCCAAATGGAGAAAAGGCCTTCCTTAATATCGCTTCATCCACTTTCAAGCATGATGGAAAGCCTATCCATAAAATTTCAGTTGGATGGTCTGAGCCACGTTCATTTCTCCTTGGACTATCTGGATAGTATGCATCAGGACTAGCAGGACGCTTTCTGGATTCCCTTGGTGAGAATGCTGAACTTCTGTTTCGAGGTTGCAGCTCATCTCGATGTTGCAAGTACAACTCATCACGTGGAGGAGCAGATGACTTGTCCTGGGATTCAGAATCTATAAATTAAATTGTATGCAAGAAACATTGCAATAAGCTAACAATCAGCAATCTGGAACAAGTTACAATAACAGGATTGCATGATTGAACAGCCTCAAAGGAGATTTCCAATAATTTCAACAAAATATTATCTTTCACCACATTTATATAAGTTAAACAAGTTGCATCTGTCTTAGACACTAACAAAGGAATTGACAAAGAATCACCCTCCCAATGTTCATTATTCATGTCTCCAAATATCCAGTCAATCATAGAATGTTCATATTCTTACTTAGAAACCCAATAAATCTTAGAAACAATTGCTCACTTTCTTACAAAAATATATCCAGAAAATCATCTAGCACACAAAGATTGTATGCACCATGACTCTATGGTTAGTTATCTTACCAGTTGCAAAGAAATCAACCTAATCACGCACCTAAGAAAATCAACTAGAATACAGACCTAAATCATCCAAGACATATAATCGTAGATGCCCATATAGGTACATAAACAGACAGCACCTTTACACAGGCACATAAAGATAAAGCCACACAACTAACACAAGTACACATGTACTTATGTCCATACACAGAATTTCCTCCACGTATAGCATTAGATATCCAAAATTATTGTCAGGATGTGCGTTCTCCAGACATTATAGGTACACAGATTTTAGGTAAATTATTACACCATTAAAAAAACTAAGATACATCATTTACAGAATTGTAAAAAGAACCATACACTGCAAAGACATCCAGATGTTAGCAAAAGAACACAGCAAATACCGAAAACACTTCGCATCACAAGTTTGGTTTTGGATGAGATGCAAAAAAAAAAAGAAAAAAAGAAAAAAGAAATAGATGTATGCTTAGGTGTGGTAACAGGCCCTATTTTTTTTTCTTTTTCTATTTCTATTTTTGAAATGTTACATATTAGTAAATCAAAGCGATATCTACCAAAGAAATATACTTTGAGGCAAATTTTCAGTAAATACAATCTCATTTCCAACATTCACAACCCTTTAAGCAACATAATGCACAACCATTATTCCCACCCCTTTTAACTTGACCAATATCAAAAGAAGATAACCAAGAACCAAGATGAATAACTTGACAATGATTATCCATAAGCAACAACTTACGGATAAATATTAGCATGTTACTAAGCAGTATCCTATGCTTTTTGAGCAAGGCTTCAGAAGCCATTCTATGCAAATAGCCCAGTTGAAAGCTTGATGTTTTTATGAAATAATGCTTACATCAAATCAGGAAAAAAGTCCATGAGTGTAAAATAAATTTGCAGCAAGAATCACCTTTATCTTTACAACTTTCACAATGTACTCAATAACTGAATTCAGCTGATGCAGCTTCTAAACTTCCTTCACTACATCTATAAATTTTTATCAACAAACTAAATGCACATAGTGTCTCACAGTTGACAGTATATTACACCCTTGACGAAACATCCAATAATCATTGCATGAAAGTCAATGACAACGGTTGAACACACAATATTCAAGACACGTGAAGTCAAAGGATAAGCATGCAAAAGTGCCAACAAACAAAGACATTCACTATTTACCCCAAACAGATTTAATAAAAGATAACAAATTATGCCTCCACCACTACTCCTTGTCTAACATTAATATTATTCATTCAGTGTAGTTATTACCTTGAAAAATAAGTTAAAGTATTTTCAGATAAATTGATTTCAAATGAAAAGAGCACACCCTCAGTGAAGATCTAGGCAAGAGAAATATAATACTACCTCCGTTAACATTTACTTGCAACTTTGGAATATTTTATGTCTCTCAAATAATACCCCAAAGTTGCAAGTAAATGTTAATAGAGGTAATATGAGGATATATAAATCAATCAAGCTGGGACAGATCGATATGCAACCCCGTTCTTCAGCCCTTTGCTATAGGCACCAAAAGTTCTTCATATGATATCTTTAAGATAAAGTGATTAATCCAGACAACGAATTTTAATCTAATCATAAAACATTTGAGCAGCTACATATTGCCAACCCAAAGAAACAAATAAACAAATCAAAACAGGGAAGACCTGATAAAAGAGAAACAGAAGGGTCTTCACCCTTATGAAATAAAATGAATATAGAGAAATAAGTAATTCAAGCATTCCAAGCCCCACTCCCACTAGCAAAATACTCCACCCCAACATCTAACATAAATATAAACACTAAAAAATAAAACATATAAAACAAATAAAAAAAAGAGAGAAAAACAGGGGAAAAAATTCATGAGTAAAAGTCTCAATACTTGTGGCAACAAAATCTTTCACTTAACTTTCAGCATGCCAAATACAAAATTTGTCCATTTCACATCAAAAAGACCCTTATTTTTCTATTCCAATACTCCACAAGGGCATAAGGAACTAGTGTAAGTAAGTTTCTACCAAAGCAAGCTTCAACAATTAAATGACACGGCAACATTAGGTGGTCTAATGTTCAAACTAATATAAGATAAAAGAATAACAAGTGTCATCATCAAACAAATATGAGATAAAAGAATATCAAGTATTATCTAACTCCTAATGAGCAATGCTAGTATTAAAGAAACTAGAACAAGGAATTCGGCACTGTTTGCCAATGATAAACTACAATGTAAGCGAGTTACAAAAAAGGTCTTACAAAGTTGCAATGTATATTAACATTACCACACTAATTCAGATCACATAACTGCCAATCTGCCATACATCATAAAATAAGAAAAGTCATTCAAAAACAGTAACATGATACAAGATTCTTCATTTCAAGTACCTGAACTAGCCTTGACACTAAAAAATATAGGTATGAAATTCATATCTAGCAATTGAATTACCAGTCAGGCATGTCACCATATAATCATAAAGTTAAAACCATAAACCCATAGATAAAGAGATAAAAAGCATATGCTTGTATCTAGACTTATAATTAAATTTATAAAAATACTAAAAATAGGGAAAATTTGTCAAAACAAACCTATCAAAAATAACCTTTTGTGAGAAAAACCTTTGTTAAAATTTTCTGACAACTTCTGACCTTCAACTTTTTTTTTTTTTAATTTTTTTTTTTAATTTTTCGCAAAATACAACATTACAAGTTTACAACCTTACCTTACTTTCCGATACTAACCGGCCAATTTCAGACATTGGCCCGCACGTGCAAGTCACATGACCTTCAAAAATTCTATTTCCACCCTATCTTTCTTCTATTTCCACTCTATCTTGTTCATCCATTACTCCATTAATTGCCAATACAACAATTCTTCAACTAAAGTATGAATTCGATTCTTATTTATAATATCAATCAATCAATCAAAGCCTTAATCCCATAAGTGGGGTCGGCTAACATGAACCAAATTTGATTATTTCGTGTAGTTATCGACATAAATCTTCCTCCTCCATCTCTTACGGTCCGATACTTCATCCTCATGCAAATATATAAACCTCATATCCTTCCTAACTCCTTCCAACCAAGTCATTTTCAGTCTCCCTCTCCCTCATTTAAGCCCTCCATGGTCCCACTCTTAAACTCTTCTAACCGAGGCACCCTCGGGTCTCCGTCTTACATGCCCAAACCAACGTAGACGGTTTTCTCTTAGTTTATCTGCAATGCTTGCCAGACCTACTTTCTTGCGAATAACCTCATTTCTGATTCTATCTATTAGAGTGTTCCCTCCCACACATCTATCTTAACATGCGCATTTCCGTAACCTTCATCTTTATAATGTGCTCCTTCTTAGAAACCCAACATTCTGTACCATAGAGCAACACTGGTCTTATGACAGTCCTATAGAATTTTCCCTTGAACTGTATGCTTCGGTCACATAACACTCCCGTGGCCGCTCTCCACTTAAGCCACCCTAACTTAATCCTATTGGCCAAGTCTTGATCAATGTCACCATTCTTGTGGATGATCGACCCAAGATACTTAAGACATTCACTCATAGTCAAATCCTTTCCATCCAAACTCACCACTTCATTGTTTGTCCCCCACTGAGTACCAAAATGACAAACTAAATATTCAGTTTTACTCCGACTTAGCTTAAACCCTCTAGATTCCAACCATTGTCTCCATTGCTCCAACTTGGCATTAACCCCATATCATTAGTTTCTTCCACCAATACGATATCATCCGCGAACAACATACACCATTGAACCTCGTCTTGAATTGGTCTAGTTTTTTATCTTAATGAAATTCTTCAATTGAAGTATTAGCTTTAATCTCCTCTTAAAATTATCAGAAAAAACATCTTCTTTGCTTCCTCTTTTCAAATTCACATTATCCTCCATCAATTCTCAATTGGATAATTTTTTTTTATCAAAAAACATATCAAATTGGAAAACAAATCCAAATCAAGTAAAATAAAATACAACCGATAAAAAAAAGGGCAGGGGGGTGTTTAGGGGTATGTATCCCATTTTGTGGACAAAGACAAGTATGTTTCAAACAAAGACAGGGGGTGTTTGGGGGTATGTATCCCATTTTGTGGGCAAAGACAAGTATGTTTCAAACAAAGACATTTGAAAATGCTAGGATTTAAGCAACTTTTCATCTACTCATTGCTTCCCCTTCTTTCATTAAAAAAATTTAGAGACATGAACCCTGATTCTCATACAATTGCAAAAATTTAAGAGGTGGAAACATGCATTACCTTGGACAATATGGGTTCAATTAAGATGGGCAACATTCAAATTGAAAGATCAATGGAGAATTCAAGTGAATTTAGGACTTCCAAGTCTCTATTGAAGAGAGACATAGAATCAATCAAAGTTGGGAGGGAAAGGGGTGCAAGTAAAAGAAATAAGGCTCATGTGAATGGCACATGCTGGTCAACACTTGAAATTCGTCGGTAAACATCGAAAAGTAAGGTAAGGTTGTAGTTTGAGAAAAAAAATGGAATAAGGTCTGAACTTGCCAGAAAATTTTTATAAGGTTGTTTCTCGTCAAAAGTGTTATCTAAAAGGTCTTTTTGACATATCCTCTTAATACAAAATAAATAATAAAAAATAAAAAAATAAATCTTGAAGAGAGCTTCTCCAAACAAAATAATGCCTAAGTTATGTGGACATGTGTTTTAGAATAGAGAAACCATAAATGCTTTGTTCCAACACCCATCTCTAATTTCAAGACAAAATTACTTTTTTCTTCCAAAGAAAGACTATCAAAAATCAAACTACAATTCAATGAAGACAAGGTAACATTCAGTCAATATATATGCCAGAACTTTTGTGCACAAGTAACACATACACAGTTGTGGAATAATGATAACATAAGAGTGGCTTCAAGTTCAAATGGCAGCTCATAATCACACTATAACGCACAGCAATATCACAGGTTATACAGATATAACACCTACAAGAAAGATGCTGAGTTGATTAAGGTAAGAGACATTATAGTTGCAAAATTCTTTTCAAGACATCACCTGATATATTTGGTTAAATAAAAATCTCAAGTGGTTGTTTGGTTTACAAAAGAAGTGGAAGTTCCCATAAGTTTAAATTGATGGGAATTAAACTTCATAACCATTTTCATAGGAATTTTCTAAAGTTGTTTGATGAGAAATGGGGAACTTCCCATAGAAATTTCTACTTACCTAGGGGAGACTAGGTTAGCAAATTCCTACATTTTGTGGAAAGTGGAAATTATTAGGAATACTCTCCCATTTCACAATTTTTTTGCCAACCAAACAACTCACCTACCTTGCATTTCCTAGGAAGTCCCACTTTCCATGTTCAGTTTTGTTAACCAAACAATCACTTAGAGTCTCTAAAATAAGTTTGCCAGTGTAGGTGTAGTTTGTTCCTGTGACTATATGATCTACTATTCACCTTTATTGCCATAGGTAGGGGGTTCTACCAATAAAACTTCTCATATAAATATTCAGCAGAATAGGGGAAACCATAAATGGTTTTGTACACTAAACCTTTCTCGTATAAGGCAGATCTCTTTAATCTAAAGAAAAAAAAAATAGACAGAAGCTAAACTGCAACCGACTTCCCTTTATGTGAGGATGAATCAAGCAGAGTTTTCTTCCATTTGCTTTCTCAGATATTGATCTGAGAAAAGAAAATATGATATGTATGCATTGACCAGTATCCTAGATATAACATCTGTAGCCCTGCTTATTTTCATTTGTGTTCCTTTGCCTATTTAGTAAGATGATAGTATGATACTATATCTCTGATAACTTCCTTCTTGCAGTTTGTATTTACAATGTGATCTACTATACCCTTCATGGAAACAGGCAGGAGATGCATTTACATAATTCCTCAAGCCCAAATTCAGCAGAGTTGTTGACTGGGGGTAACATGTAGTGGTATTCAAGAGCTCCTTAAGAGTTCCAATTCATCAAATTCTGCTCTCTTACACTCTATATCTGTCTCTCTAGTATTAATTTCATTTTCTTCAGAAATTAAAAGATGCACAGTAGCTATGAGGTGCACCCAGCGTTCCAGTGTAAATTGGGGAAAGGATGAATATTATAGCGTTCTTTTTCATCAGATTACTCAGCTATCCATCTCTTGGGAAATGTAAAATGGTACCAGCATGTTATGTAGTTTTGAGAACAAAGGCAAAGCCCCTAAATATTACGTGGCAAAATAAAGTGGCTGACACTGATATTCATTTCAAATGCTCATACCAAACCCTTGACAGCATTACTAGACCTCCTTAATAAAAGGGCATGGTACATGCTCATCAATGTGTAATCATGGGTGTATTGGGATTACACAATATGAGAATGCTACATCTTAAAAGTGGATGATAAAACTCATCCTATTGAACACCTAACGTTTGATGTAAGTCCTTTAACAATATAGATTTGAGGCTTAATAGCTGAATTCCGAAGACATCCATGGCTATCAAATCAAGCTCACAATATTATGACTCAAACTTAACAGGGCAGCTAGTCAAATCAGTCATTCAGCAAGTGTTGACCCCTATCAACAGGTTATATGAAGGCATAGGAATTTTGCTCAAGGGAAAAGCTTTACTAAATGGGTCTTCACAGTTCATACACTGATTCCCAGATATTAGTCAATGCTTTAAACATCTTTTCTCTTTAGGTTGCAACTGAAGAGATGACACATGACCCCGGAAACTATGCTTCATACATATTGATGCTGAAAAATATGCTACTGTGAGCCTGTAAGTACAGATTTTATGTCTTAGTTTCCAAATAAAATTCTCTTGTTATTGTGTTACTGATCAAAAATTGTGCACTACAGTCAGAAAAATGAGTGAGGCAATCATTTATTTCTGTTGCAGTGCCATTCTAGTACTTCAGCATTCCCAATAGAAATTATTGAGACGTTTTAGCATTACGCATTTATGCCTGCCTTTTGGGAATGTACTCACAACCAGAACGTATGACATAACTAACACACTTTGGGAGTTTGGATTGTAAAGGAAAGTCACAACACTAGTTTTTATGCAAAGCAATGCATAGCTTTAACGTAGAAGGTGCATAGTGGAAACTGGAAAGAAGCCATTGTAATGACTAGTAGGATACTAGGAAACAGCATATTAGATACACCTTAACTTGATTAATGTTGGAATAGCAGCTGCATGGTTTTATATTATCAAGTTAATACCTTCTTAATTTAAGGAACTGACACCACAGATTGACAGCAGAAGTGCTATTTCATTTCAGTATTTTATATTGCACTGCATATTAGTTGTCTCAATTTCTTCAAATAAGTCCACTATTTAACTCTTTTTAGTATGTGGTAACATTTGGTTATAGTAAATCAAACCAAATGTTATTTGGAAGCTACCCCTCTGCAATTAGTAAAAGAAGTAAACATAGTCATACAACTCACTCATGGTGAATGTTCTTTTGAGGCGCTTGGAAAGTGTTTGATGTTAGTGTAGTGTCATTTCATTCTTGGTGATGATGAATTAGATTCTGCAATTAATTAATTGATACCATTGGATATTTAACTATTAACCAATAAAACCTAATTTGTTTGGATAATGCATCAAATTGTTCGTTTAGCGTCTCTTTGGCACAAATTGGCTATTGCGAATGTTTATAAGAGAATTGTAATAAGATTCAGTCATAATGAGGCACTAGTAACAGTCAGATTACTTGAGCATATCTTGTCTTATATCATCAGACCTTCCCACTTTATATACTAATAACGTTTTTTTTTCCAAGAGAGAATGAGAGATGTAAGACAGCAGCAGTTCCACCAAGTATGATTTGAGTAAGAGCTGTATCATTTGTGAACCACTAAAGCACTGTACAATCATGACTCATGAAATTTGTTCCAGATAATTCCTGTTTTCACTCAAGAATCCCTTCAAGTTTTTCTTTCTTACAAAGAGCTTGGGCTCATTTATAGACCTAGGGTTTTCATTTCCATCATTGCTCCTCCCTTTGAGAGGCCAATTTTCCATCAATATAATTTTCCTCACACGAACTTTCAACCAGCAATCAAAATTTTATTGCAATGTTGTTTATAGTTATTTCTGATATGCACTGTTTTTGAATCTTGCTGGGGGTTTTGAATCTAGTTTCTAGAATAGTTTTTCCTGCTGCCTTGAGAGTTTGTATTTTCAAGTGCTTCTGTGCTGTGCCGGAATTTTTTATCATTTTGCTGAAATCCTCTTCAGATTTTTGTTAAGACTCTGCTGCTGATTTCTAAGTCCTGTTTGTAGTCTTCTCTATTCTATCTCTTTGTATATACAAATTCTCTTGTTTGTCTTTTGCTGAATATATTCATAGTATTTAAGTCATTTTTTAAAATTTAGATCCTAGTAAAGCCCTTTCCTTTTTTCCTGTTTTTGTAGTTACCAGTTAGATTGAGTTCAAGAAGATGTCTCCTCTGTTTATGCTCTTAGAATTACTTCAGATATTGAAGCTATAGCATGATTATCTGGTTCTCATTAAGGGTTATGGAAATTCTTTTCGGCTGAAGCTGAAGATAGGTCATAGTTGACGCAGTAAAATTAAAGATAGGGTTTCCGTGTGTGTCAATATCTACTTACTATCGTTGCACATCAGAAACTGCCTCCGATATAAGGATTTGTTTTCTTCCAACCGGATTGCGATAACTTTGCATATTAAAAGTAAAGCATAAAATCTAAGGCGTTTATTATTGATATACGTCATTAGCCCTAGGGATCTCCTCAATCTGTTACACCCTCTAATAATTGATGGTGCATATGCCACACTTTATTCCATGTGGAAACAGCTGATTTTGAAAACTGATACAACCTAGTTGTTTCCATGTTTATAGCCTAGTTGTATCCATGTTTCAATGGACATTGAATTTTCCTAATATTTACGAAGGGAAGTCCAGAAAGGCAGCCACAAGCAAGCACTTTTGGCTGTACATGTAAAAGAATCCTGAGATCCACTTATGATTATGACGTCTCCTATGTGCATCTTTTTCGTGCTAATAATCAAATATATTTCCATGATTGAGCGTCAATGATAACCCTATGTTTTTTATAGCTTTCGCGCTTAAATTTAAAGTCATTTCCATATTTGATAACCAGTGATAACCCTATGATTTTTACAACCTGCAAATCCATCTGGCATGCCTGGTTTTCGTAATGAGCTTATAATTCTTAGTGAATACTTCAATTGCTGATCATATTCATATTAAGTATCCTTTTCATTCCGAGGCAAAAGAAACAAGCCACTTTCATAAGCAGCATTTCAAATGTACTAAACTTTTTCAACTTGAAAAACTCCATACATTCAATTCCAAAATGAAGTACATAAGCATAATGTATGACACAGATATGTTGGCATAGAATCACCAAGATTACGACGAAAACGATAAAGGGTAGACAAAAGAAGAAACTAACCGACTTGGCAAACTCAATCCTAAGAGGCATGCCTGCAAGACTAAACCCCTGAAGCGAATTCAAAGCCGCAATTGCATCATCTTCCCTCACATAATTGACAAAGGCGTAGCTCCGACCGGGATGACAGGCAATGTTTTCGAGGTCTCCGAACCTAATGAAGTGATCAGCAAGAGTTGATTGGCTAATGTGGTGAGACAAATTCCCAACCCATAAATGCCGGGAAGGAGGATTATTCTTGCCACGAGAAGGCTTGCTTTCGTCGAAACGAGAAGAAGACGATGAATGATGATTATGGTGTCGCTGACTATGGTACTGCTGTGTATGATGATCCCTCCTTGAATGATATTCCCTTCCAACTCTCCCACTCTATAAAACAACAAGTTCACAATCAAATCAATAAGTTTAACAATCAAATCAAAAAACCCCACAAAATATAATCATTAAAATGGTAATCAAACAAATGGGTATGAACTAGATTAAAGAGAAGAAGAGAGAGAATCACCATTGTTTTGCAGGAAAGATGAAGGCTTGTTCCAGAATTGCAGTGAATTTGAAGAGTTGAAGAAGACGAATTTGATTGAAATGAATGAATGAGAGAATTGAAATGGATGAATGAGAGAATTGAAATGAAGATGAGATTAATCGAAGTGAAGTTTGCGGTGAAAAAGAGGGGTTTTAGGGTTTGCCTACTAAGAAAAAATGAATGATATTTCTACCCCAATTTCTTTGTAGCGCATTTGAGTCAGTCTCTTTAAATAAAAATAAAAATAAAAATAAAAAAAGCAAATTTTCAAAGTTGTAAAAAATAGGGCACTTTTGCTTAAAATAAGTCAACTTTTTTAATCAACTTAAAATAAATTAATCTTTATGAACTAATTTTTTGAGTCAATTTACTGGTAACTGGCTAAAAAAATGAGGTCATTAATTTGGAAAGTCAATTCATTTCCCTCCCAAGCATTTAATTCCCTTAAAAAAAAAGGATGTGATTAATCTCGAAAGTCATTTCATTTCCGTCCCAAACATTTAATTCCCTCGACTACCCCCTTCCTGCTCTATGTCACCCCCCATTACTCCATAGCTCGGCTTCAACCATAATTGTAAGAACTAGCTTATTGAAAGAGGAAAAAAGCCTCTTTTGCAAACAAAGAAGACGACGTGTTTCTATGCAGCAAGTAGAGTTGTACAGAGTGCGGTTTAGACGCACCAAATTGCAAACCAAACCGCAATTTTGCGGCTTGGTGCGGTTTGCGTTTTGAAAATTGCGGTGCGGTTTGCGGTTTGGTGCGGTTTTCAAAAATATTTAGACCAAACCGCACCGCAAACCACACTTTAATGTAGTTTGCGGTTTTTATACTACATTTTATTAAAAATTTATAAAAGAACTAAAGTATATGAGCTTGTTATAAAATTAAAGAGAAAGAGGAGAAATTAGGGAGAGAATAGATCAGTCTATTTTATTCCATAGAGTGGGGATATATCTATACATACAATATAACTAGGGTTTGCTTTGATAACAATAAACCCTAGTTCTAGAACATTCCAAAATGATAAAGGAGGATAATGGATATCCATACACTATTTCATAACACTCCCCCTTGGATGTCCATTATCAAAGAGTGTGCCTCGTTAAAACCTTATTAAGAAAAACCCTATGGGATAAAAACCTAATGAAGGAAAAAGAGTACAACATTCTTCGTAATACACTCGAGATGCTGCCTCATTAAAAACCTTACCAGGAAAACCCAATGTGGGACAAAACCATGGTCAAGGGAAAAAGAGTGCAGCGTGTTTTTCTCCCCCTGATGAATACATAGCTTGAGATCTTCTAGTGTCGTTGCAATGAATCCAATATGTTAAATATCTTCTCATATGTAGTATAATATCACTCGTTGATCTTCGATACTCCTAAACTGAAATTGCATCTTCAAGTCTTCACATAAACATGTGAAGTGTCTTCATTTCACCATACATGTGTTTATCTCTAATATCATTATTTCAAATATCTGTTTAATAGTTGATTCAAAGGTTAAACTTATACGGTCATGACTTCTTCTGGAAGTCGTTGATAATAAATATTGCTGATCATTATTTGATCAAATATTCATTAATACGAGTAATAATTTGATGACAAAACTTGATATTATTAATATCATTCTTCTCATATGAATTATAATATAACACACGTAATTATATACGCTAATCATGGTTCTTCTGGACCATAAGAAAACATTGTCATGCATAAGTGATCCATTGATATTCTTTAGACGTTTTATAATTGACACGATAACTCTCTTGCAAATACAAATAGTAAATCTCATTAACCCTCATATGCTCAAACTTCAGGTTGAGATGTCAATAATGTTGTTACGTCCATATATTTTCAAGAGTTTGATAATAATTGCCAATTCAAGATATAAACTTTGTAGGGCTGGATATTACAATAGGTCGTATATAAGTTCTTCAGGAACTCTTCTTAATTCATAATGTGAAATTAAATCGGTGTCATCAATAATTTCATCACAATTATAAGCCCATTGGAATATTAATATCTCTTTTTAATTTTTCATCAAAGTTGTAAACATATCTTACTATCATTTGAATGAACATTTACATACACCACAGTTATTGTAAGAAATTAATGCATGCAATATGAGATATAGAAAATATGATAACATATTAACAAATATACAATGAGTAATGCATCTAAAAACTTCCTATATATGCAATAAATATCCATTAACTTATGACTCACACATGCACATGAATATAAGACTCAAAATGATGCAAGACACTGTACAGTGTGAATTTAAAAATCTCTATTTCATTGGACTTCTGGTCCATAATAAACTTTTGATCATTATCATTATGTTGACAATAAAATGAACATATATTTCAGATCCCTTATTCACTAGTCCATTCTATCATGCGTATGCATATTATTCATCAGTTCCATTGTGTACCGGTATCATAAAATTCCTATAACGTATATTTCGCATGCTATTTTACTATGATATCTGAATGCATTTCTCATTGGTACCTTAATAACTTTTCTTACATAATAGGCCATCTTTTATAATATTTCAGATATCTATACTACATATTAAGGGTATTTCTCACAATATGGTATTAATATACTATTATTATACTTTAAAATATCAATTGCACTATCTTGCCGTACACCGCATATTTATATTGTTGGAACCGATCATACAAACTACACTTCAGGTGTAGTGATTTAAAGTAAATTGGCAAGATCTATCTTAATGTATGCACATAATATCATTATCACCATAATAAAAATATATCTCTCTATTCCTCTAGATGGGTCATAACGGTATACATATCAAATCATAGAAATGCAACATATGTTGATACAAAAGTTGGCATGTAACTTTACAAAGTATCATTAGAGGGATCAACTATTTATAGTATTATAATTATTCCAACTTACTTCAATTATCCCCCTAAGCTGGTAATATGTCCATTTTATATAGTGTTTTACCCCCGTCCCTTGGTCGTTATTAGTAGTGTTTTTGGCTCTTTCGGGCCACTTTTATTACTAATTTGTGTATTCTAGTGTTTTCGTAGTTTTAGTTGTATTTTACAGGAAAATTGCACTCTTGGAGCATTTTCCCGGGCTTTATGGATCAACTACGGAAGCTAGAAGGACATGGCCACTTTTGGAGCCTAGGATCGGTGAGAGCCGGTGATTAAGGGCTCGGTAATTGGGATCCTGAGGCATTTGGACCAAGTATTCGAGACCTGAGAGGAAATCCGGATTGGGCCGAGAAATCTAGCCCAATCGAAGTCCAAGCCTCAAGGAGAAGCAACCGCCCGATCGGGCTACCTCTAGCACGATTGGGTGCGGCATGACCATTGTGCTGAGCGTGCTATAGCGCGCCCGATCGTGCGAGCCTCTAGCACGATCGGGCGATGCTCCTGGGTAGGAACACGAAGAAGGGCCACCCGATCGGGCGCGCGTTTCTGGAAGACCTGATTAAGTTTAGTTTTAATTCTTGTTTTAGAAAACGTTTAAATACGATTTTGTACGGAATTATTAGATTACCTTCTTTCTTAGACTTTCTCTCTCTACTTAGTATTTTTCTCTCTCTTAAATTCTCTCTCAACTTTTGTTCTTAATTCTTCCTTTGATTCCAGATTTATTTTTGGTAACAATTTCTTCTCTTTTAATTTCAGTTATTTTATTTGTTTTCTTGATTATGCTTTTATTTAATTGCTTGATTAGTTTAGTCATGATGATTTGTGAGTAGTTTAATTTCTAGGGTTTATGGGGATCTAATAAATAATATGAAGGGGTAATTTTGTGTTTGTTAATTATCAATGCTTGGTTGATTTCCTATTGATTGATTAAATGCTATGCAATTAGGTTTGGCCAGATTTAATTGTTTGAGTTTAGCAATATTAATTCAAGATTCGACAGATGAGAATTGATGTTTAGGCTTAGTTTCAATAGGCGGATTAATTTATAAATGGTTAAGTCGAGATTCGACAGATGAAATTTAATACCGGTAAATTAACTCTGTGATTATAATACGTAGCGAAAGCCCTTTATAATCTGATTAACCAATGCTTGATGTTTGCTTATTATGATTTACCCTGGAATATTGTTTATTAGTAAACCTATGCCCTAGGCCTTTTAATATTTGATTTTCTCCCTACTTTATCTCCTTCGACCTTATTCTCCGTAGTTTAGATTTTATTCATAAAAATATTGGTTACTTAGATAATTTAGATTATATTAATTAATTAGAAGTAAAAAGACATGTTTCCCTGTGGAGTTCGACCCTACTTCCCTATCTACCTTAATTAGAGGATTTAGGTAATTATTTTTTATTAGGGGATACGACTTTACCCTGTCAGCTGGTAAAATATCTCAAATGTTGGGGCAATTCTTCACCAACTTAGAATATAATTTCATGTACATCAAATTTTATCTCGTAGGATAATCATATATATTCAACAAAGTTCCATCTCTTCTGGAGAATAATGGAATTTTGTTCTCTTCTAGAGATCAATATTAATAGGGGGTAATAAATTGTGCAGTTGCTAATTTCTTATTCTATTCCTTATGTGCTGACCTACAATAGACCCAATCAAGAGAATTGTTATACAAATATAAACTTTCTTGTAATTTCACTAGGTGGTGATCTTCGGGATCACTAGAAATATTGATAGTAATACTAGTTACTTAAAATTTTCACACATAACTTGTACGTGGTGAGCTTCTAGTCACCTAATATTTGTCAACATATAAATTATTCTAGTGAACTTCTGGTCACCAATTATTCAGAAAAACCAATATATTATCTCTTGAACTTTTCTTTTTACACAAACTATTAAAATCACAATCTAAATATAGCTCAATCTCAATGTTATGTCTTTCCATTCAATTTATTTCATATATTTAACATGAGAGAGCGTCAACACATTATTTCTTTCATATCAAATAAAACTTCAGGTTTTCATAACGGGAATTTATTAAACCCCGGATGGCCTAATTTTATAATTATCGCATCCAATAATCACTTTTCCTTTAGTAAGTATTTAAATTATGGTCAGTTTTATAATACTGATGATCACCTTATTAAAGATACTTTATGCATGGCCATGAATATGATGTGATATAAGTACACAAATGTGTTTCTTTCTATAATTGGCAAGACAATTAACTAATACTCATACTCCAATGGAGCATTAATTGGTTGTAATCTTGATACATGCTAACCTTGTTGGACAACATTTTATACTCTTATGGAGTACTTTATATAATCATTTCACATTTTAATGTATTAGAAATGATCTCTTCATGAGATACATAAAATGTGTCACTTTCCCAAATTTGTCATTGTCAATTAGTGCTCATTTCCTCTTCCAAGGATTCTTATCGTTGTAACCCTTTGGATTATCACACTTCAAGTGTGCTAGTTCAATAGCAACTGATCTTGTCCATCCAGGACATCAACTTAATATGTACATTTATATCTAGTATATAGGTAATGACATTTATTCATATCCATCTTCAGGATGGTGTCATTCT